TATATATATATATATATATATAAATATATATATATATATATATAAATATATAATATATATATATATATATATATACATGTATGTGTATATATGTGTGACATAACGGTGACATCGTAACCATGGTCACGTCGTAGCTATGGTCACCGTGTAACCATGGTCACCACGTAACTATGATCACCGCATAACCATGGCCACTGCGTAACCATGGCCACCGCGTAACAATGGCCATCGCGTAACCATGACCACCGCGTAACCATAGTCACCGCATAACCAATGGCGAATGCGTAACCTTGACCACCGCGTAACCATGACCATCGCGTAACCATGGCCACCGCGTAACCAATGGCGAATGCGTAACCATAGTCACCGCGTAACCGTGGCCACCGCGTAACCAATGGCGAACGCGTAACCATGGCCACCGCGTAACCAATGGCGAACGCGTAACCATAGTTACCGCGTAACCATGGTCACCGCATAATCATGACCTCCGCGTAACCATGGTCCAGCTTCTGACGTGCGGCGTGGCCGTGACAGCGTAATCGGCGACAATCTGCCGGTAATGAGCTAGCGGTGCGAGGCGAAATGCAGCCGCCGTCACGAACTAATTAGCAGTAGACGTCGAGAGAGAGAGAGAGAGAGAGAGAGCGCGCCAGACGCGGATTACTGCACGCAAGCACGGCGTGACCACGGTGACGGTGGGCGTGGGGAAAGGGAGGAAGTGAGGTGAGGGGAGGAGGTGGGGCAGAACTGAGGAGAGAGCCAGACGCGGATTACCGCACGCCAGCAGGGCGTAACCACGGCGACGGTGGGCGTGGGGGAGGAGGAGGAGGTTGGGTGAGGTGAGGGGAGGAGGTGGGGGATAGCTACATGTAAGCTCGGCGTGATCACGGTGGGCGGGGTTCGATTGCCGGACGTGGCGTGGAGTGGGGCGGGTCGGTGTCTTGGCAGGACAGGGCCGGGCGTTGTGTAGTGGCCGTGTAGTGGCGGGCCTGACGGGGATGGGGGTTGGGTGTTCCGTTTCTGGAGCAGAAAGCCTGTGAGCTGTACGTGAGCCCAACTATGAGTCTAATGTTGAAGAAATGAATATAAACTCAATTATGTATAAAACTTATTATGCTCGGTATTGCTGCTTTTACGAAATTTCTTCAGTAAATCCAGCAGCAGCTCTTGGATTATTCTTTTTCGTTAATATTTGCATTTTATCGTAAAACAAGCTATAATTTATTCTTCAACGTTCATTCATTACAAAATTGTACGATTTATATAAATCTCACGTTATTCATATTACTCATACCATATATGAACAACTATAGTGGTTTTCCTCTAGGAACTATTTCGTATTTGTCTAGGCTTAATGTCATCGTTTGTGCAGTTATTTGTTCGCTTCACTACATCAGGAGTTAATGAGTTTGTCTCATTAACTCCTGACTACATGTATATCCTACGCGCAACTCTGATAAAATTTGTAAAAAAAAAAATTATCAAGGTCATTGCACTTTTCTGGATTATTGAGAACCTTTCGTGCTGCTGTTGATTCTTAAATGCCGCGCTCACGGGTGGTATATTCACTTACGCAAGGTTTTTCCTGTTTCATAGGCTACCTATGTGCGACCTATCCACTTTAAACTTCTCTGGCCGCGTGAAAAATCTCCGCCGTTTCTGGGCGGAAGTATCGGCTTTCGTGGGTGTAGAAAAACGCTAGAGCTGGAGCTAGATTCGCACGCACAGGGGCACGTACGCACGCACGGCACAGGCGCACGCACGCACACACACACACACACACACACACACGCGCGCGCGCGCGCGCATGTACGCACACGCACACAGAATGGCACATTATGGGTCTCGCTTTCTCTTTCTCGCTTTCGCGCGCCCTCTCTCTCTCTCTCTCTCTCTCTCTCTCTCTCTCTCTCGCTTTCTCGCGCCCTCTCTCTCTTCTCTCTCTCTTCTCGCTTTCTCGCCGCCCTCTCTCTCTCTCTCGCTTTCTCGCGCCCTCTCTCTCTCTCTCTCTCTCCCTCGCTTTCTCGCTTTCGCGCTCTCTCTCTCCTCTCTTCTCTCTCATCTCCACCTCTCTATTCCATCCCCTCTCTCGCTGCGCGCGCGCGTCTCTCTCTTCTCTCTCGCTCTTTCGCTCTCCCCTCTTTCTCTCTGGCACGTTTCCTCTAGCTCTGTCTGTCTCATTCACACCCATTTCTCCCCCTCTGTCCTCTCTCGTACAATAGACGCACCTAAACGCGCCTAATTTGCCACTAAATTATCACCGAAAATTTCGCGCGAGATACAGTCGCGTTAGACCTCGCATCGCGAGCATCAAAGCCCCTGCCAGTCCGACGAATGACTCACGTCGTCTTAATTATTAAATAAAATTATTATTTATTTATTTATTTATTTTTTAATTATTAAAAAGGGCGACTCTGGCGCGCGGCGGCGGCGGGTGGGTGAGGGGGTCGTTAGAGATAGCGGCGTCGATATGCGAGCAAAGGTACGACGAGTAAGTGCGTACTCACGTACGTAAGCGGGTAGAACAAAAATGGCGTTTCGAAATTTACGTGAAAGAAATCGAAAGATTTTTGTTTTGATTAACTCAATCGACCTGCCGTTAAATGTATTTTAATTACTATTGTGTTGGTCGTACAACTAGTTTCGATTCTGGCGGGGATGGATTTTTATGTAGTAATTACTAGGTGGATTTTTCTATGCCTTACTAGGTAGGGTTTTCTATACTAATGAGGATAGATTTTCCATATAGGCCTAACTAATGAGGATAGATTTTTCCATATAACTAATGAGGGTAATTTTCATGTACTTACGAGGTAGATTTTCATATACTCACAACGGTAGGTTTTCCGTGTTTTACGAGGGTAGACGTTTCGATGCTAACGAGGATAGATTTTCATGTTCTTCGATGACCTTGCGTACCTAGTTATTAGACGCCGTGTTACGTGATTATTATAATAACGGTTGGCATCGAGTTTTTGCGAGAGATAGAGAGAGAGCGCGCGCGAGAGAGAAAGAGAGAGAGAGAGAGAGAGAGAGAGAGGGAGGGGAGTTAGAGAGACCCCGTCACCACCAGGCGTCACGTTATAATGGCTGCCTCTTCCACGCGTTGATTATTACGCAGCTAATGGTTTATTAGATCTCGCAGCCAGGGTGCTGCTGGCGTATGTTCCTCCTCTTCCTCCTCTCCCGCCAGGCGTCTGTCGTCCTGAACAGACGGGCGTGCGTCTACGCGCCTGCAGTGCGGCGCTCCGTCTCTCCTATATCGTCTCTCTATCCGTCTCTCCTCCCATGGCGTTGTGCCGTGGGAGTACGCCGCCCTTGTCCGATTAGCTGTCGTACTAGCGTATTAGCGTGTCCGTGTACCACCCGCGTGTTTAATCGCCTTTGGACGTGTGTGGATCAAGTGAGACGTCGACCGTCGTGTCTACACGGCGCAGCTCCGCTGCTACTACACGCGTGGGTCGACGAGCTCATCACGCGATGTCATTGAGCTATAAGGTTAACGATAAACATCGTATAGTATATGTACGTGCGTGAAGTGGAGACCTTGACCGCCATCTATCTACACGGGGCGCAGTTCCACTAGTGCTGCCACGCGTGGTTCGACGAGCTTATTACGGGATGTCGTTGAGCTATAAAGTTAACGATAAACATCGTATCACCTGATCGTATGGTATATGGACGTGCGTGAAGTGGAGACCTTGAACGCTCTCTAGGGACGCAGATCCACTGCACTACCACCCGTGTGGGTTCGATGAGCTTATCACGTGATGCCATTGAGCTATAAATTAACGATGTGAGCGTCCTGATCAACTCTAATAGCGTGAATTTGGCTTATCGCGGTACGTTATTTTACTAGGAGCTTATGAGCGCTAATCAACAAAGCCCAGCTTGGCTGTACGCTAACAACTAGCTGGTTTGCTCTGTGCCTAAGCAACGCAGCTTGCTAGCTTTGCTGCTTGCTCGGTTGCCCTAAGCCAACTAGGTAAGGCTTGTTGTGTTTTTGCCTAAGCAACGTCCTATGTCGCTGTAGCGATAAGCAACTAGCTTGCGGTGTTGTGCTAAGCAACTAGCCTAGTTAGCTGTATGCTAAGCAACTAACCTAGTTAGCTTTGTGCTAAGCAACTAGCCTAGTTAGCTGTATGCTAAGCAACTAACCTAGTTAGCTTTGTGCTAAGCAACTAGCCTAGTTAGCTGTATGCTAAGCAACTAGTCTAGTTGGCTTTGTGCTAAGCAACTAGCCTGGTTAGCTGTATGCTAAGCAACTAACCTAGTTAGCTTTATGCTAAGCAACTAGCCTAGTTAGCTGTATGCTAGGCAACTAGCCTAGCTTGCTGTATGCTAATCAACTAACCTAGTTAGCTGTATGCTAATCAACTAACCTAGTTAGCTTTATGCTAATCAACTAACCTAGTTAGCTTTATGCTAAGCACCTAACCTAGTTAGCTTTATGCTAAGCAACTAGCCTAGCTTGCTCCATGCTAAGCAATAGTTAGCCTAGTTAGCTTTGTGCTAAGATACAAGCTCGGCTGGCATTATTCAATGCGACTTTCAACCGTTATTGCGGTCACCCCCACCACCACCTCCTCCGCCACTCGTTCTCAGCTCTCCGCCGCCTCTCTCGTTGCAGCTCGGAACCTCAGATCTCCAAAGACATTCCGCGGGTCTGGTCGGACTGGAAGCTTGACCTGCACGACGCCGCCGCCACTGCTGCCAGGCTTGACCGGCCGGCGAGCGGTCAGAAGACTCCGGACGTGCACGCGGCGGCCAGGGAGGGCAGGGGAGACCAGCCGACGCTGAAGCCGCTGGAGCTAGGCTCCACGGCGACGCAGCAGCCAAAGATAGATAAGCCGTGTGACGGAGGAGGCGGGGGAGGAGGAGGCGGTGGAGGCGGGAACAAGGCGCCGTCGAAGGGCGGGGAGAAGAAGAAGAAGACCTGGTACAATGTGAGTATCGTTGCTGTCGCGCAGTTCCTCTAGTTTGCTGTTCAGCTTAAGTCGCAGTTCCTCCAGCTGTGTGTTCCCCTTACAGTTCCCGGTGGCACAGTTCCTCTTTTGTCTGTTCCATTTACAGTTCACTGTGATACAGTTCCTCAATGTTGTTGTTCCACTGTCTCACTGTTCCTCCATCTTATTATTCCATGGCGCACAGTACCAGCATCCAATCCATTAGCAGTTCATTCTGCGCGAGAGAAGTAAATTTTCCGCTGCTTGTCGTGTAAAGCTGCCGCCTGGTAAATGATGGTGCAATTACTCTCGCCCTCCTACTGCTGCTCCTCTTCTTCCTCCTCCTC